TAACCGAATTATAACTTTTTCTTCTATACAAATGTTTTTTGCTGCTTTGTTTTGTGTATATAGTGATTATTAAAACTCAAAACAGAAGGCTAAACAATAAACAGAAAACCTCACCGCAAAGTTACAAAACTCAAATCACAATTCTACCTTTTTCTGGGTTAGCTTAATCGAGATCTGAACAACCCGGCCCAGGAGCTACGCTTTTAGGCTGGCCTAAATCTATATATTAGTAACGACTTTTGTTATTGTTACTCGCTCGCTAGCTTCCTCAGTTTATTTTTTTATCCGTAAATTAACCCGTCAATCAATCCACCAATTAATCAATCAGCCAACTAACATGATATTGTCTTAGCATACTTGACAAAGATATTAGCCTTTCGTTATTGTGCATCAGTTGTCAATGTTTACATGTTTACTTTTGTTTTTCTCACAGGTGCCTTGTGTTGTCAGTTTATGTTCTACGGTTCATGACCCTGGGATCGAAGATCAACAGTAAATTCACAAATACTTCAGGGCTGCTTACAGAGCAGGTCAGTAAAACAAAACTTCAGGTATTATAATATATCNTATGTGGACTACAGAACTTTTACGATTTGCATTAAGTTTCTTCTGTCGTTTCTTTCTTGCTGTAGAGTCGCCCCATTTGTGTTTAGCAGTCGAGTTATTTAGGTTCTGTTTCTTGGCAGCTTATTAAAGGAAACGAAAAGGAAAGATTTCTGTCAATATTATTTAACTGGGAAGTGTCTATATGGTGAGTGAACAGTTGTCCTTTGGAAATAAAATTATTAAATACCCTAGTCAGTCGTCGGTCGGTTGGCCCTGAGTTAGTGAGTCGGTCGGTCGGTCGATCAATCGGTCAGTCAGTCAGTCTTTAATCTTTAATCAGGTACAATAAATTCCAATAAAATGTCTAAGAGCCTAAACCTAAAATTCTCAGCCAGTCAGTCAGTCAGTCAGTCAGTCAGTCAGTCAGTCAATAAGTTTTATTTTATTTTGTCTTATTTTAGTCAAGCAGGCAGTCAGTCAATCAGTCAGTGAATAAGCGACATCACTGAGTCAGTGAGCCAGCCAGTCAGTACTAATATTAACGACTTTTGTTATTGTTACTCGCTCGGTAGCTTCCTCAGTTTACTTGTTTATCGGTAAATTAACCCGCCAATCAATCTACCAATTAATCAATTAGCCAACTAACATGATAACGTCTAAGCATACTTGACATAGATATTAGCAAGATATTAGCCTTCCGTTATTGTGCATCAGTTGTTAATGTTTACATGTTTGCTGTTGTTTTTCTCGCAGGTGTCTTGTGTTATCAGTTTATGTTCTACGGTTCATGACCCTGGGATCGAAGATCAACAGTAAATTCACAAATACTTCAGGGCTGCTTACAGAGCAGGTCAGTAAAACAAAACTTCAGGTATTATAATATATCATACTGATCACAAATGTGTTTTGCATGTAGGTAACCTTAGCTGACCAACTTGGCTTAAACCAACCTTGCCTGACTACGTTTGGCCATGAATTTTCGTAAGAAACCCACATAGGCATTAGTCGAGTCGTACAACAATTTAGGTACTGAGTATGACTCGAAGAATATTTCTCAGTATACTGTAAATAACAATTTTTTTTAGAGAGGAAGCCATATCAACCTTACCTGTTTTTCATGGGGATCCTCTTTCCTAGTCAAATTAGAATTTGGAGAATGTTGGTCTTTGTGGAGGGAGGAAAACCGGAGAACCCGGAGAGAAACCCTCGGAGCAAGGCGAGAACCAACAACAAACTCAACCCACAAATGGCCCCGGGCCGGAATCGAACCCAGGCCACATTGGTGGGAGGCGAGCGCTCTCATCAGTGTGTCATTCCTGCTCCCTTACTGATATCATGAGAAAGCATTGTATATCTGTTGTATGCAGTTTATCCTGCTTTTTGGGCGGGAACAACCGAACGCTCTGACGAACGCAGCGTATTTTGGCGGGAAAGCGAACACCGTTTAGGTACATTCAACCGATGAGATATCGTAAAACGTGTGACAGTTTTCCAGCATTCTGATTCATCATCGTTCTCGGTTCTCCTGGAAAACGCATCTTATTAACCTTATTAATTCAATTTATCTTCTTTATTCGTATGGTGGTGTAGGACTAAATCTTGATACCAGACCAATTTAGTTTCGCTTGTCTTCCTGATATGTCACATTAAGTATTTAGAAACTTAAGGTTCTGGGCTGTTCTTTTTGTGTTGTAGATCAATCTTTACCTTCAGATGGAAAAAGCCCCTCACAAGAAAGAAGATTTGACAATTGCTAACCACGTGCTCAAACTAGCCTC